CTGACAGAATGGAAGGAAAACATGGAACAAAATTCCATATGACCCAGCTATTCCACTACTTGGAATATAATACCCTGAGAATATGAGAACTGAGGCACAAACTGAGATTTGTACACCAATGTTCATAGCAGCATTATTCAACATTGCAAGAACATGGAAACAGCCCAAATGTCCAATCACAAACAAATGGATTGAGAAATTATGGTACATTTACACAATGGAATACTATGCAGTACATAAGAGCAATGATTTTGTAAATTATTACCTAACTTGGGAGGGACTGGAGAGCATTATGCTGAGTGAACTAACTCAGTCCCATAAGGATAAATATTGTATAAAACTGTTATTGTAAAATGAGTGTGAAGATCCAAGAAGTTGGGAGAGGCTGGAAGCAGAGGGATGTAGAGGTGCATGGGAAGGGGAGATTAATCATTGGGTTGTACAATTTGATGGGTGGGTGGGTGAGGGAAATTAAAAGATTTTGTTCAAATTTGTATTTGAATTTTGTCAATAAACTAGAAAAATTTAAAAAATTAAACAAACAAAATACTCCTGAGATCCTTAAAAGCATCCAGACCTGCATGACCTATTAAGACTGGAAAGACTACTTGAGACTGTTGTTCTGAAATCACTTTCAAACATAGAACTGAAAAGAGCCAATGAGGGGGGTAACTTTTGGCTAAATAGACTGTTGTTGTTATGTGCCGTTGAGTCGCCTGAGACTCATAGTGACGCTATGGGCAACAGCCCTAAACTCTACCCTATCCTGTGCCAATCTCACCATCTCCAACGCACCTGCCCCCATTATTACCCCAGTCACCGAATCAACCCCTTTCATCGAGGGTCTTCCTCTCCTGCACTGTCCCTCCACGTTCTCATTCTCACTGTCTCTCCACATGACATTCCTCTCCAAGAACTGGTCTTTCCTTGCAACATGTCCAAAATACGTCAGACAAAGCTTCAGAAGATCATTAAATAAATATTATCATCTCTGAGTACTGTGCTCCTTTAAAAAATTATCAATGTGAGACAAATATGGTCAACAATTATTTTAAAATAAAGATGGGATTGTAAGAGAATAGGGACAATATATTCATGGAAACAGAACAACCAGAATGGAAATACTGAGATTGGGCACTGTGAAGAATATGCCAAACGTCATTGAACGATTTGAATGGGAATCTAAATTGCTGGGTAGATTTTCACCAAGAATACAATGAAATATTAGTTGGTTTTAAAAAAAAAATCCTACAAACACAGCTGTTACCTAAAGTTGTTATTAAGATTACAGTATGGAATCATGGAAAGAGCTCTGAACTGGGAGTCGAGAGAATCAAAGTCTAGTTCAGGTTCACTCAGTAGCTCCTATGGGACACTAGTCAAAGCAGAGACTTGTGCTGTATGAAGTATTTACCACATACTAGCACCTCACATACTTCTCTCCCTGAATTAACACAGCTCTAAATACTATAATTGCTCAGATTTTTAGAGACAGGAAAGCTAAGATTAAGATGTTTGTACAAGTTCCCTCAGTAAATACTTGGCAGAGGCAACATTTTAACTCCGGCCTCTTCCCAAAGCCCATGTTTTTCACATATATGCTCTTCATGTAATGAAAGGTAATTACTAAGATTAGCTATAGATGTGCCCAGCCCAAGGCAAGAATTCCAAAGACGTGAGCTTCCCAAGCTCTCATCTCCACCATCTCTCTACTGCGATGTGATATAGATGAGTACAATCCATAGATATCTCTCTACAAGACCTCATTGTGGACAGAGTCTCCAGTTCAAAGTACAAACAAACAGAGAGCAATGGAAATCAGGCTGAAAGTGCAAACTGACATGCCATTTGCATTCCTGGGCTGGAGGCAGATTAACACCAACTTCAGGAGCCAAGAAACAAAAAAGCCTCACATGTGAGTCATAAACAGTGGGGTGACCACCTGTCAGAGGTAGTTAGCTGTCCAACCCTCCTGTGGCACCCAGGGCTTCAAAGAGAGACAACAGCCACGATTCCCTCCCTGGCTTCATCCTTTACAACATCCTTCATCAAGCCTGACTCCAGCAGTGGGCTGCCAACAGGGCAGGTAGGCCGGGTAATAACATCCCTCCCACTGATATTGACAATAACCCTGCTCGACATTTGTACAGCTGTCACAATGCACCAAAGGACTATCGTGTACATTGTCTCTCCAGTCTGACCCTTGTCATAGCATTGTGAGTGACAGGAAAGCCAGGTATTCCTGTCACATGTTAGCTGAACAAGTTGAAGTCTGATGTTGTCCATGTTGTTGTTGTTGTTAGGTTCCATCATCATAGACTTGGAACTGACTTACAGCTTCATACATACCCCCTCCCTAGGAGGTTTTCAAAGGCTACGAATCACATAGGAGGAGACTATCCATCTTTCTTCTATGGGCCCACTGGCGGATTCGAACAGCATGCCTTCTAGTTGACAATGCAGTTCCTTACCACTAGGCTATGAGAGGTTTGATGAGGAAGCATAATGTAAGCCAAAAAATAAACTAGAAAATGATAAAACTCGGCTTCAAATCTATGTTTCCCCTACTCCTAATCCTTATCATTTAACATGGTGGGCTGCTCGGCTGTCTTCCTAAATATCCACCCAGTTCCCACCATCCTGCCTTCCACGCTACATCAATGAGGCAAACTGAGTCACTCCTGCAGAATTAAAGACCTCTCCTGTTGCTCAAGAGTTAAAAGCACGTGTCTATCTGAAGTCAGATCGTCCCAGGTGAGGGCTGAGTAGACAAGCGTGAGCATCAAGCACACCTGTTCACGTGGCAATCGGCTTTCCACACCTGGCTTCCTGGGGACTTTCAACCACCGCTAACAGCCTCCTCTCACTGACTCTGCTAGAATCCTGGCTCGTTCACTAATTAAAGGGTATTACCCACTTCATTGCACACCAGCTAAGAACTTGGAATAAGGAAGCATGAGCCCTGAAGAGATACCACTAGTATGCTTTATAGAAACAGAAAAGGGGGGGAATCCCAGAAGAAGCAGTTCACCTGTGACATCCCCTTCCCCATCCTAACTTCTCTAATATTAGAGGTAAAAAATATATAAATACCCAGAATACTACAAAGCCTAGTAAATCAGCAAGAGTGGAGAGAGCTGCCCAGCAGCGAGAATAGATGAGAGACAGCTGATAAACTCCTCCAATAACTACCTACCCCAGAGCTCTGGACTCTTCAAGTATAGCAGCCCAAGGCCACGCAAAAATACATTAGAAGCCAAAGGAGGCAGGTGGGCAAAAATGCATCCAACAGACCACTCCTGACTGCAAGGTCTTGGACAAGCTTGCCATCATGTCATTTTTAGAAAAGGCTCAGCATGGCTGCTCCTATGGTCCACTGGTGAGGAATAGCCTCCCATCAGGGCCCCTGCTGTCTTTCTCAGGATGGGGGGGATCCTCTCAGGCACTCCCTCTACAGCCTGAAGATGCAGCCCTGAGGCTCATCCCTTTTTCCACCCTGGGATCACTCTTGAACTTGATAATGACACTCTACTGAATGAGTAGTATGTATCGCCCCCAAGCAGCTTCATGATCAGGGAGGCTTAGTTTGGGATGTCAACAGTTCTGGCAAGGCTGAAGCCCTGACCTCTGGTCTCTGGGACCTCAGCAAGGCAGAGGATGGACTGCCTGCAAAAGCAGGAGCCTGGAATCAGAGATCCTCTTCCTCTAACTGGAACTTGGGCACAATTTAAAGGAAGTCACTAGTTGGACACGTGGGTGTGAGGCCCCTGGAGAGCTCAGGGCAGAGCTTGCTACTTATTGCACTTTCCCGCTGTACCTTGCTCCCTCTGACGTCGTGCCCTGGCCCCCTGTTCCATGTGTGTTCAGACAAACACAGGAATAGCTGAGAGCATCCACAAGCTGCATGGTGCAGCGGGGAAGCTGAGCGTTGTCACGGCGCTAGGAAGCCTGGGGTGGAATACAGTGATGGCTTCAGTCTCCAAGAATGAAGCATTTTCCTCTTCTCTCCCCACGCCACCTGAGAGACATCACTTGTGTTTGACCTGTTTGGGGATCCGGGTTTTGCTCAATTTAGAAGGGCTTCCAGTGCCCACAACCCCCTTCCCCCAGATCAGACTGGCTTTATGTTGGGCACAGATGACTGCTGTTCTTGCTCTGCTCTTCCTCATAGTGTTTAAGATGGATAATAGGGAACTGTTTTCCCAGGCGAGCAGAGCTCCTGCATGCAGGACTTGAGAGGCAATGCCCCCAGCACCCTGGGCTTCTCCAGAACCGGAGTCAGCTGACAGCAAGCTCTGAGGCTACTGGCAGAGAATGGTTGGAGCATTAAAATCAACTCAAGAGCAAGAGGTTGGGAGGTGGTGAGCCTGAGAGGGGGTGGGGAGCAGATACACATCTTAATTAGGCAGAAAAACCACAGACACGTGCTGACAACTGCCACTGCCACACCTGTCATCCCAAACTTACAACTGCATCTGGGCTCAAGACTCAGAGACTGAAAGCTCTCAGTGCTCCCTGAAGCAGTTATGGGAGAAGCAACTACCCTGGACTTCTGGAGGGTCCCTCTGCCCCTAATGCCCCAGGCTTGCCTCCAGCAAGGAGATATGTGCAGCTGTTGTGTTTATGCCCATGAGCCCACAGAACCCCAGCGGCAACAGCTCACTCTGTCCTTGCTCCCCTTTCCCTGTCTGCCCCTCCAGCAAGCCCCATCCTGAGTGCTAGCCACCTCCCCCTGCACTTTCCCTCTCTACTCAGCTCTCTTCTCCTCTGGGCGTTCTCAGCCCACAGCTGCTTGTCCCGCTCCCCACACCACTCCTCTCCTATCCACGCTGCTCAGTGATTGTACAAACAACAAACAGAGGCTTTGAGTTTCAACCTGAAGAGCCCACATGAACCAATTGGGACTGCTTCACCCGCACAGACATCTCTCTGGATATCCTGCAGGCGTGCCATCACGCAAACCCTCTTCGCCACCACAACACCCTGGACATCTCTCAGCTTCAGACCTGTCAGCAGACCAGAAGGAGACCCAGGGTCCCCCCTTCCAGACTCTCCTCCTCCCCACACAGAGCTCAGCATCTCCACATGACAAGGAAGCAAAGAAACATTCACTATTTTACAGCATCACCTGCTCCAGCAGGCTTCTAAAGCCTCCAGAGCCTGGGAGGCTGCCGGGAGCCCCCACACCCCCTTCTCTGGCAGCTTCAACTCCCGCCCAGCCCACAGGATGCAGTGCCTGATGCCACTTCCGAGCAGACAGAGAGGAGAGGAAAAAAGAGAGAAATGCCACCTCGTCAATGACAAGCTGTTCCAGTCACACAGCTCGGACACACCAAGTGGCCTGGACAACAAACAACTGAAGCCTCCTCCCTGTGCCTGGGAGGGAGTTAGGCCACCCCGTTTGCTAGAGTGGCCCCCCCACAGTCAGCCACCTCCATGTCTGAACAGGGAACAGTGCTCCATCTGAGCAGGCAGTCATCTACAAACTAGTCCCGACAACTCCAGCCACTCTCCTCTTGGCCTTCAACTGAGACACTGCTCTCTTTGTAGCTCCAAAGCACAGGGAGACCCCCACACAAAGCAGGGGGCCATCGGCGCAACGCCTCTCAAGAGGACCAAACCCAAGAGTGAGCTGAAAGCCAAGTACTCACAGTGGTGAAGTCTTGGTGGCCACACTCCTGCCCTTTGAACTTGCAGTAGAGCATCATATCCTTCAGGTCATGGCCCACGCGGTGCAGGAACTCCAGCATGCTGAACTGCTTGGGTTTGTAGTGCTTGAAGTTGGCCTTCTGCCTCAGAGCCTCCAGCACCGTGGGGTCAGCCAGGTGCGGGTCTGGAATCTGCAGGTTGACGTCCAGCAGAGCCAGGAGCTCGCCTGCGTGATACAGGTCATTGGTAGTGAGCCTGGAGAACCGGAAACCATTCAGGTTGCAGAGGGTGACAGCTGGGAAGACCAGGCTCTGGGCCACCACTTCATCCACCTTGGTGACATGCTGGTAGGAGAAATAGTAGGACACCCTCTCTGAGCTCTCGACCAGCAGCAGGCCCAGAGAACCCACGAAAGCCAGGGCCCACAGCACACGGCGGATGGTCAGCGGCCCATACACGAAGATGTGGCGGATGCCGTGGAGGGTGGAGGTGTTGGCGAAGATCTGGATGCTGGAGGGCTGCAGGCTGCCCTCGCTGGGGCTCTCCTTGAGGTCCATCGGGGACCCTGTGTAGTTCCGCCACTGGCTGCCTTCAGGTTGCTCAAATTCCCGGGAAAGAGTTTTCGGTCCTCAGGCTGGCCTCAAACCTGGCTGTTTAAGAGCTTGGGCCACGCCAGCCAAGCCTCAGGGCCAGACGCGGTGAGTTTATCCTGCGATCCCAGCCCCACGCGGGCAGGGGTGAATGTTCCCAAAACCCATTCAAACTCTAGCTCCTGATTTTTTCCAGGCGATAAGGAGGGCTGGTTTTATTTAGGGAGACACCAAGGTGATGTGGAAGAGATGTGGGTGGGAAGGGAGAGCTTAGCCAATGGAAATAAAGTCCTCCCCCCTACACACGCCACTAGAGACAAGATTAAAAGCGAGAGCGAGGGAGAAAATGCTTAAAACAAGTCGCTCAGCCGCTCGGAGCCTGTTAACCAGTGCATAATGCCCCGTGTTAAGCATCCTCCCGGATGGCAGGGCAGCCACGCTGATGCACTGCGGTCGCCGCCGCTCCGTTCCTTCCCTCGTGATGTTTTGGACTCCCGGATTCCGCTTCTCGCCGCCGGCCTCCGTCCCTCCTCTCCTCTCCTCTCTTCTCTCTCCTCCTCCTCCTCTTCCTCCAGGCCCCCAATTTTGGGCAGAATTCCAAATGACGGCGGCCGCGGCTAGCGCCTCGGAGAGGAGGCAGCGCGCTGCCGCGGGGACGCGAGAAAGGGGACGCTGGCGAAGGCTGCCGGAGACTCACCCCGGGGGTCGCTCTCCTCCCTGGCCTCCTGCAAGAAAACCGAGACCCACCAGGCTCAGAGCCAGCGTGCCTCCTCACCTCCTCCTCCCACCGGGCTGCTACGGGGACGGTGGGGGGCGAGGGCGGGGGCGCAAGGGCGGTGGAGCTGGGGATGGGGCCAAAGTTTCTTTGCAGCCTTTTTTTGGAGGGAGCGAATGGGGGCTTCAGGCTCAGGGCGGTGAACCATGCCCTGAGAGTTGAGGACGTAACCCTCATCCCCCGCCGCTCCCGGATGGGAGGAAGGCAGTGGATAAACTCCCCCGGAGCCAAGGATGGGGGTAGGGGCAGCATTCCTTTGCACCATGTCAGCTCTCCCCTGGATCTGCGTTCTCTGGAGGAGGGAGATGGAAGGATAGGGATGGGAAGGGCAGGATGGAAACCACAGCTCTTCTGCTGCCAGCCAGGCAGAGCCAGGTGCCCCCTCAGGAGCAGGAAAGCCAGCTGCCCTCAGTAGCCCCAGGGAATGAGCAACAAGTAAGTAGCCCCCCTCCAACAACTGAAGGAGATTGGGTGGGATCTGAAAAAGACAGCTGGGGAGCAGGGTAGGGTGGGCTGCAGCATTTCATTGGGGTGGTGTCTGTGTGTGTGCTCCCGTTCACTCGTGTGTGTATTTTGCCCTAGGATTTGCCAGATGGAAGCACAGCTGGAGCTATAGGTAGGAGCAAAGGATTGGGCGTTCAGCCGCCTACCTCCTTTTTCCTCAAAATCCACGGGAAATCAGCCCCAGCTGGCAGGTGGGTGTGGTGTGTGCCCCATGCCAGGGAGCAAATGGCTGAGACTTACTGAGCCAGTGACTCGAAATCCCCAACAGAGTGAAAAGAGCAGAAAGTTTCTGCGGCCATCCCATGCCACACTGCCAAGCTGGGGCAGAGCCACACTGGAGGCGCCTTTTGTGTGCCAACCTGGTGTTCCCAGGGCATCCTAGACTGAATTAGTGTCCTTGGAAAACAACTGAGAAGGAGCTTAGAGCATGTCCCTCTTGGTTTAAATCTGCTCTGAAATATTTGTCCCATCTGGCCGCTGTGAAACCAGATCCAAACAGAGAGCTGTGTCCGGATGCACTTGGAGGCAACATGTGGCATAAAATCAGTGATTTATTGATCTGGGGAGCTCAAATAGCAGAAGCACTGCAAGGAGGCATGAATGACAAAAGGCTGATCAACTACATGCATACAATGACCCTGAAGTCCTGGTGGGTGGCATGAGGTTTTCAAAGCAGTGGGCCAAGAGAAACTAAAAACTAAAAGTCTATGATAGACTGTAATATTATCTCACCAGTACAACAACCTCTATGTGTTCTAGTGCTTATACCCATTATTGCAGATGTTGTTGTTGTTGTTATGTGCCGTCGAGTCGCTTGCGACTCATAGCGACCCTATGTACAACAGCCCTAAACTCCGCTCTGTCCTGTGCCAATCGCACTGTCTCTGACACTCCCATCCCAATTATCCCAGTCACTGAATCAATTCACCTCAGAGAGGGCCTTCCTCTCCTGCGCTATCCCTCCACCCTCCCATGCATGATGTCCCTCTCCAAGGACTGGTCTCTCCTCACAACATGTCCAAAGTATGGTAGACGGAACCTCAGAATCCTTGCCTCCAAGGAGCCACCCGGTTTAACCCTTTCCAGGACAAATCTGTTTGTTTTCCTAGCAGTCCATGGTATTCTCAATACTCTTCTCCAGCACCACAGCTCAAAGGCATCAATTCTCCTTCTATCCTCCTTGGTCATTGTACAACTCTCTGATGCCTAACAAGTGATTGGGAAGACCATAGCCTATATCAGATGCACCTTAGTCTCCAGAGAGACACCATTGCTCTTCAGCACTTTGGAGAGGTCCCTAACAGCAGACTTTCCCATGGCAATGCGCTTTTTAATTTCCTGGCTGCTGGTGCCAAGACTGTTGACTACAGAGCCAAGCAAACTAAAGCTGTGTACAATCTCAATCTCTTCACCATCCATCCTGATGCTGCCAATTGGTCCAGTGGTGAGAACCTTTGTCTTCTTGACATTGAGCCTCAATCCATATTGTAGGCTGCAGTTCTTGACACTCTGCAGCAGGCACTTCAGGTCCTCTTCAGTTTCAGCAAGCAAGGTTGTGTCATCCGCATAACGCAGGTTGTTGATAAATCGTCCACCAATCCTGACCCCACATTTCTCCTCATAGAGCCCAGCCTCCCGGATAATCTGTTCTGCATATAGGTTGAAAAGGTATGGAGATAGGATGCATCCCTGGCGTACGCCCTTCCCAATTTTGAACCATGCAGTGTTCCCTTGCTCTGTTCTGACGACTGCCTCCTGGTCTAAGTATAAGTTTTGCATTAGAACGATCAAGAAACTGATACTGGAAGAAAAAAGCTCCTTGTCCAAGTACGCAGCTAATTAACTGGCAGAGCTAGGGCTTGAACTCAAATATGTTGGCTCCTTGGAGGTATTGGATTGTATTCCTTGGCCTTTCCTCTCAGTTCTTCAAGTCAGACCAACATCTGTAACTTGAACCATTTGCCCTTGGTTTTTGGAAAAATTACTTACGGGTTCCCCAGGTGAGTTGTGCTGCTGACCCAAAGGTGCATGTCTCAGGTGGTTTGAATCCCCCAGCAGCTCCTCGTGAGGTAGACGGGCAGTCTTTTCCCATGGGAATTTACAGGCTCCTACATCCAATGAGTTTGAAAAATGTGATGGATTTGTTCTGTTTAGCTAGGAAGGCCCATCCAGAAATTGACAAGAAGCATGACCTTTGTCGTTTGAATGTGTAAGGACGCATATAAGCCTTCACGAAGATCATGACCCACAGGATGCAGGAAGCCCAGAATGTGAAATCCGTTTCCACAGCACTTACTATCTTTACTTCCCCCCCCCATTTAAACTTGTTTACATTTTACCCACCTCACCACAGGCTTGTTTTGAGGATTGCAAATACAGCAAGTCATCATTGAGTAGTAGAGTTTGAACCTCTGACCTGCTCTGCTGGTAAATGCTCTGTGGGCTTGGAGAAGTTACACAACCTCTCTGAACTTCAATTTCCCACTTGATAAATGGGAATAATAATGCCTTCGCTCAAGCTTGTTGTGAAGATGGGATGAGATGTCGAATATAAAGTATAAACCACAATTTAGGAAGCATTCTGGTGGGGAGACAGAGCCAGGTCTCAGGGAAATTGGTTTGAGGTAGAAAACTACAACACAGATGTCATCTGGTAATAAAGCACTCCTGCGCCTTATTGTAGTGGACCTAGGACGTGGCTTTCCAGGCTGAGCCCGCTTTAACAGGGTCCTTAAGCACGAGCAGGCGCAGTCCACCATTCTCCCACCTCTCGGTGATCTTCCTCTAGAGGCAACAGTGAGCCCTTTGCTGGGATAGGGCTGAAACTAGTACTCACAGAGTCCACTCATATGCACCATCCCATACTAGGTCTTGACCCAGAAGCGAGCTCTGGTAAGGAGCTGCATTGCCAACCCAAACACATGGTTCAAATACATCTCCACAGGAGAAAGCTGGGTAATCGCCCCTACCATTTACGGCCTCTGGAAACCCTTTGGAGGGTCAGCTATGAGTTGATTCTGACTCCAAAGTATGTAACAACTTGTCCCAGAAGCCTCTTGCAACAGCACGCATCTTGAAGAGCTGGCTGCAGGTGCATGTAATTATCATACTCTCTCCTATAGGAATCCAGATCCAGGAAAACCCCACCTCTCTGCAGACAAATGACGACTATGTCAAGCTTTCTTAGCATTAAGGAAAATATAAAGTCCTATCACTTTGACCACCTTCTTGAGGATGGAAACTTGTGTTGCTGAAGCATTTGCTCTGATTCTCGCTAGTGAGCCTTTGAATAAACTATCAACCTGAAAGCTCGCTGGAGGTCAGCTATGAGTCCGTTTCAAACTAACGACACATTAACAATAGCTACAACACTTGATAGTTCCTCCACGTTATTGATCAGACTTGGCAAAAATTCCCAAATCTGAGGTGTCTGTAACAGTAGCACAGTGTTTAAACCCTCAGCTACTACCCAAAAGGTTGCAGGTTCAAATCCACCAGCTGCAGGTGGAAGATGTGTCAGTCTGCTTCCAAAAAGCTGTATAGCCTTGCAAGCCTTAAGGGGGAGTTCTCCTCTATCCTGTAAAGTCATTTTTAATCTGAAAGGACTCAACGTCAGTGGGGTTAGCACAATAGAGACATTTATGTATTGATCTTCCTCTTTCAGATTACTCAGGAAGGTTCTTTTCGA